GGAAAAAGACAAAAAAAAAAAAAAAAACAGCCCATTCCCAGGGCCGGCCCATGGCTCACTTGGGAGAGTGTGGGGCTAACAACACCAAGTCAAGGGTTAAGATCCCCTTACCGGTCATCTTTTTTTTTACAAAAAAAAAAACAGGTCATTCCTAAATGACTTACCTAAATATGTTAATTCCTAAGCAGAACCCTTTCCCCCCTCCAATGACACTACCTCTATATTAGAAGCTAATGGAAAGTAACACCCTTGTCGTCAGAGAAATGGTCAAAAACTGCAACTCAGACACATTCACATAGCATTTTATGGTTTATACAGCACTTTCAAATTTTCATTTAATTCTCACAGCATTGCTAAAATATGGGCAGAATCATAGATACTCACAAAAGGGACCCTAAAGGTCCCAATTCTTAATCTTTCAGGGCCTCGATTTCCATGTCATCCATAAAATGTCGGAAGACAGTATAGTAGACATCCCAGAGTAGGTATGTCTGACTAACCTGGTTTCAAATACCAACACAGCCTTTATTTTTTATTTTATTTTATTTTTTTACTTTTTTTCTGTTGTGTGGTTTTTGGCGGCTAGCAGGTATGAGGATCTGAACCCTTGATCTTCGGCACAGCCAGTTTCCATGTGACCCAGAGTAAGACAATTTCTCTGAGCCTGTTTCCTCTTCAGTAAAAAAAAAAAAAAAAAAAAAAGGGCCGAGCCCGTGGCGTACTCGGGAGAGTGCGGCGCTGGAAGCGCAGTAGCGCTCCCGCCGCGGGTTCTGATCCTATGTAGGGATGACCGGTGCGCTCACAACGCTCACTGGCTGAGCGCGGTGCGGCCGGTCTCAAAAAGGACAAAAAAAACCCCCAAAAACCAGGAACAATTTTTATATCTTAAAGAGTTCTTGTGAGAATTACCAATGATCACCTATCACCCAACAGTGTTTAGCAAAGGAAGGAAAACAGCTAAACATTGATGACCTTACTTAACTCACACACCATTCCCATAAGGCCAGTACTGTACCCATTTTACAGATGAGAAAACTAAGGCTGAAAGGGGCTATAGTTTGCCTAAGGCCTAAATGTGGTACAGGAGTCCAAACCAGGTCTCTGCATTGAAACAAGTTGGTAGCTCACGTGGGAGAGCGTGGTGCTGATAACATCAAGGTCAAGGGTTCAGATCCCCATTCCGGCCAGCTGCCAATAAGCAAGTCAGTACGACTTGTCTACAGGCTCTGGCCTCCCCTCTCTCTGATAATAAAAATATCCTCTAGTATCATATTTTACTAACACACACCCGCAGTCATGGAAAGTTTCTATTCAGGAATGACCAAATGAGAGAAGGCTGGGGTGACCGGCTCTGAGCAGGAAAATCTTTAAAAAAAAAAAAAAAAAAAATCATGCTCCTTAGAAGCTATAATAGTCACAGTAATAATCACTCTGGACCCGTAG